TCTCTCTCTCTCTCTCTCTCTCTCTCTCTCTCTCTCTCTCTCTCTCTCTCTCTCTCTCTCTCTCCCCCTGTTTCTTCTCTCTTCTCTCGCTCAAGTCTTCGTCCTCTTGACCTCACTGCGCTCAAGCTCTCTCTCTCTCTCTCTCTCTCTCTCTCTCTCTCTCTCTCTCACCCTCCAGGATCTGTCCTGAATACAACTGCGGTGTATTCCCTGTCCTCCGCGGCTATGGCCGTCTCCTTCCTTCTCCCTAGCTGTGGTAACCAGATGTCTCCTTCCTCGCTGGCCGCTTGCTCCTCTCCTGGTGCCCCCTCCCATCCACGTCGCACTGTCGCACAAGTAACCCGCAGTACTTCCCCAATTCGCAGCACATGAATAGTTGATCGTTCCTGCTGATGCTGCTGGTCTTTTCTTACTTGCTGATCCTCCTTCCAGCCATCTTCTGTTGGTTATGGGTCCGCCCTCTTGCCTTCTTTGTTCCCTGCTTCTGGAAACTCACAGATTCTTCTTGGGTTTGGCTACTTGCGTGGATCAACTGACACCTAGCCAAACGGCCCTGGTAATCCTGGCCGAAGTTGTGATGCCTACTAAAGACAGACTTGTCAACCCATAACTTTTATCTCCGAAGGACTTGCTACCACAATCTACTTAAGTAGCTCACCTAGGCCTCTACAATCATGGTACAAATGCAGGCTATTCTTCTTAGAGTATTCGTGCATATTGTACAAGTGGCTGGAACCACTAATTGGATACGGAATGGGACTCGGGATTAGAACCTGGGACTTAGGAATGGGACCTGGGACGAGGGACTGGGAGTTAGGACTCAGGACTGGGACCTGGGACTTGGGACTGGGACTCGGGACTCGGGACTCGGGACTGGGACTTGAGATTGTGGTGCAGGGTGAAATCCTTTCAATTCAGAACTACAGTATTTTAGTAATTTAATTTATTTAAACTAATTTTACTCTTTTCTTTCCAGTGGAATTCAGACTCAGGTCTTTATTTCAACAGTGCAGGGGTGTACCAACCGAGCTAGGCCAGTCAGTCGCTGTCGTCTGATCTGTGGTGCAGCTTGTGCTGACATGTCCAAGTCTGAGGGCGTACTCACACTCGCACTTTTGTAACTGTATCTGACCGTAATTATGGCCAGACCTGGATGAATCTGACCACAATCACGTGCAGAACTGAGTCAAAAAGAAGTCCTAGTGTGAGTATGCCGTGAGTCTGTTTTGCTGTGTTTTCTGCACATGTGGGTCCTGTTGATGATGTCTATATGTATGGGCCTTGCTCCACTACCCCCTTGAAATGTGCAAAACGAGAGTGAATTCTTCTGCTAGAACATGGACAGATGCTCTGCCATATTTTTTGTCTTTTTTTGTGCATGTCTTAGCGTAATGGAGCGAGGCCCTATGACTGTGTGCTTCTCTGTTGAAGTCCGCATCAGTCATCTTCAGGGGCGGAAAGAAAGAAAAGCGCACGGTGTCATTGTGGTCCGGTAGATCCGAGCCTCCAAAATTTTGCTACGCGCCGCCAGTCATTGTGGTACGGTATCTCCAAGCCTCCGGAATTTTGTAGACGATGAAAGATTTTTCCACAAGGCTGGCACCGTGTACTGGAGGTTTTAAAAAAAGAAGAAAAGAGAAAAGAAAATGATAGCACATAAACACCCTCCTCCCTGTTTGATTCTCTCGGGCCGACGGCAAGAGATCAGGTGAGAATATGTTTTCTTGCCTTTTTTTTTCTTCTTTTCTTTGCTTTTTTTTCCTTTGCCATTGTTGTGCTTGCCCAAAGGGGATTTATCATTCCTCAGATGATTTCTGAGCATTTTTCAAAAATAAAAAACCACCCTTGCATTGGTCCGGCGCCCAAATACATCAAGTCAGCCCGACTCTTCCCTATCCCAAAAAGAAAGCGGTCAAGCCGACTCAGGGAGGGTGGATCGGGTGCAAAAAAAGGAAATTAAAAAGTTATAAAAAGTATTAAAAAGTATTAAAAACCAAATATGTTTGGAGGCAGCGACAGTGAGTAGGAGTGGGTGCAGGAACCCCAGAAATAGAGCGTTTTGGTTTCGTCAGGGGTGAGGTCCCACTAGCAAAGAGGATTGGATTTGATGCCTGAATCTGGCTGGAGGTGTTTGTGGAGACTCAAGAGGTGGTGCAGAAAATAGCGACTGATCTGTTTTTCTGCATCTCTGCTTAAAAGTTACAACCCATCCACATTCAGGCGCTAAATACCATGGCTACTATCCGGACGTCCGGACCGCCGTCCAGACGGTCTGGATTCAGTCCGGACTCCAGACGGTCTGGATTCAGTCCGGACTCCAGACGTCCGGTCTGGAAGGTCCGGATCTGCCAAAATTCAAGGGAAAAACAAAAAACAAAAAAAACGGTCCAGGACCCTTCCCCATTGAGGAGCCAAGCCCCCAAAATTGTTTTGGGGTTTTTTCAGGCCCGTTTATGCTTTTTTGGGGGGTCCGGACATGCTCTCTCTCTATAATAATTTATTAGACAACCCCAATTTTTTAATTATTAATAATTCATTACCTTTTATTAGTTTTTAAAGTCTTTTTTAAAGCTTTTTTTATAGTTTTTGACTTGTAACTCAAGTTTGGTTAGGAATTCTGGCACGAGTCTGAGGCAAATGAAACGGTTTTCACCTTTTAGCAGTAGCGGATGCAGTAGATGCAGTACCCAGGGTTCGATCCCTAGACCTCACCCTACCCATGTACAGTATCTGTGTAGACCCCGAGAATTGAACCTGTGACCTGTGTATTCGTAGGCAGTTGGTAGACCTGTCATAGGTCCATAGACAGCAGGGGTTCGATCTGTAGGTCTATAGCGTAGGAGTCTTAGTGAGTTCTGGAAGCTTAGCTGTAGACCTTCTAGAAGGTAGGCAAGTGGGCAAGTGGTCAAGTGGTGAGGCAAGTGGTGGACTAAACCGCAGTGCAACAGCAGTGCAACGGCGGTAGGATAGCGGTGAGTCCACAGTCAGTCAAGGGAAGGTCCAGTCAGTCCCAGTCCGGTCCAGCAAGTACCACAGGGGGACTGTAAGCACCAAGGGCCGATGGCAAAGGGCAGACCAACGAGTTTCTGAAGTATAAATCAAGAGGCAGCGCCCAGCCATTCATTCATTCCTGCGTGAGCCATGCGGAAGCGCTGCCACAGCGACTTGTGCAAGGAGGTCTGCAGATGAGCCCGGAGGACGCAGTGGGCAAGAGAGGAGGAGTTAGCAGAGCGATAGGTTAGAGGCAGCCATAGCTGCCATAGCTGTAGTTAGTAGTGAGTGTGTGTGTGTGCTCGAGTGTTAGAGTGATGCGTGTGGGATATCCAGGGTGATCCAGTGTATGTGAACAGTGAGATGTTTGGGCGCTGAAGTCGCCATAGCCAATTGAGAGTGAACTCGTATCTGAAAGCCATATCTCTGAGTTTTGAGTGGGCGCATGTCGCCAGTATGCTGCGTTGCTGTTTACATGCATGAAAAGTGTGTTTGAGAACGAGTCTGATTGCACAAAAGTGGTTTGCATTGTTATTCTGCATAGCATGCTTTTTTTTCAGATTTTTTTATTTTTTATTTTTTTTAATGGTCCGGACATTTCCGGACCCGTTCAGACATCCGGACCGTCCGGATCCCCCATGTCCGGAATTCCCGACGTCCGGAAACTACCGGACATGGATCCGGTTCCATCTCCGGAAATGTCCGGGTCCGGGTCCGGCGTAGCCATGCTAAATACAATCCCCCTAGCAAAGAGGATTGGATTTGATGCCTGAATCTGGATGTGTTTGTGGACAGGTGCACAACATACCGATTGATCTGCTTTTCTGCATCTCTGCTTAAAACTCATCCAGATTCAGGTGCTAAATCCAACCCAACCCACTTTGCTAGTGAGACCTTGCTCCAGAGGAATGCGATGGATGTGCACTGGTGTGTCAGAACCCTAGAAATCCGCGGTGTGTGTCAATTGTCACAATGAGGTTTTTTTTTTTTTTTCTCCCAACTTTTTTTGCTTTGTTTTTAAGTTTACAACTTTTTTTTTTTTTTCTCTTTTTTTTTGCAATAATCATTCTTTGCAACGCGACTGGACTTGAACAGGATCTGTTCCATAGATCATACACTTTCCTGTATCTACGAATAAAGATGACTCGTCAAACCTGGAGGATGAGCTGAGACTACTGCACCAGAGAGCGAATACCAGGTGGGGGGGGGGTGTTTCGGTACGCACTCGCCGATGAAGAACGCACTCCTTGGCTCGTGTCGAGGGGTACACGGGGTGGACGCGTTCCAAGTCTTCTGACAGGAAAAAAAAAAAAAATCATTCCTTTTTTTTCGTTATAACAATTGGGGGGAAAAAAAGAAAAAAAAAAAAAGATTTGGGGCCGGGTCCTCACAGTTCAACCTGGGATTACTGAGAGCATTTCTCAGCTTAGCTTGGTCTGGCAAGAACACTGCCCATTTAAATTTTAAATCACTTAAAAGTTAAAAGTTAAGACCAGCAGTACCATAAAAAATAAAAAAAATAAAAAAAGAAGAAGAAGAAGAAGAAGAAGACCAGCAGTACCTTTCCCAGCCATTGTTTCCAAAGTCGCGGTGTGCATGAATCCACAATTTTCGGGGCTCGGCCTCCGGCGCAAAATGGCTGGCGTCCCTTTTTGGGGCGTGCTGAGGTTTTCCAGCCCTGGAGAAAAGTGCTTTGGAAGAACTGGGGGTTCAATTTGAATAAAACTCGGTGAAGATTCTCGACATTTTTATTTTTTGAGACACTCTCCATCCAGGCTTACAACATCTCCCCTCGGGTCACAATGTCACATGAATCCAAATGGCTGGAAGGCGCCATCTTTGTCTTATAGATGTATGATGATGTATCTGGTCTTTTTTTTTGGTTTTTCTGCATTGCCCCACCGCTCGTACAACCAACAGCAAAACGCCACTACAGCAGGTGCAGCGAGGACATTCAATCCGTGCACCCCCCGATGCCCCACCTCCACACCTGTGGAGGGTCACGGCTGGTTTCAACCCGCAATATGTTTTTACAGGATGCACCCTTGCAAAATTGCTATCAAGGATGACAACAATTTTAGGATGACACACATAAATTGAGAAATGGTCCAAATATTTCAAAAAAAAAAAAAAAAAATGCTGTCAAAATTAGTCAAATAGATAGGTAAGAAGAAGTCATCCCTGGAAAAAAAAAAAAAAAAAACATCAAGGAGAGTTGAGAGAGGGGGAAACAAAGAAACAAAGAAAGAAAGAAAAAAAAGCAAACAAAACACTTGCCTCGGTGCTTCTGCGAGCGCATTTTGGTCGAACATAATGTCTGCAAAACCCTCTTCCTCGACCTCGGTATCATCAAACCATCGCTTATGAGTAAGGGACCTACACTTGAGATACCAGACAGCCTGCAGCAGGCCAGGTCAGACCAGGTCCGAGCCACATTAGAGCCAGGTCTGAGACAGGTTAGAGCCAGGTTAGAGCCAGGTCAGACAAGTTAGAGACAGGTTAGAGACAGTTTATGAGAGGCAGGTTATGAGAGGCAGGTTAAAGACAGGTTAGAGACAGGTTATGAGAGGCAGATTATGAGAGGCAGGTTAGACAGGCTATGAAAGGTAGGTTAGAGGCAGGTTAGGGGCAGGTTAGAGCCAGGTCAGACGCAAGCTAGAGACAGGTTAGAGACAGGTTAGAGACACGTTAGAGACAGGTTAGAGAAAGGTTAGAGAAAGGTTATGAGACAAGTTATGAGAGACAGCTTATGAGAGACAGGTTATGAGAGATAGGTTATGAGAGACAGGTTAAACACAGGTTAAACACAGGTTAAACATAGGTTAAACACAGGTTAAAGACAGGTTAAAGACAGGTTAAAGACAGGTTATAGACAGGTTATGAGAGGCAGATTAGAGGCAGGTTATGAGAGGCAGGTTAAAGACAGGTTAGAGACAGGTTATGAGAGAAAGCTTAGGAGCAGGTTACGAGAGGCAGGTTAGAGACAGGTTAGAGGCAGGTTAGAGGCAGGTTAGAGACAGGTTAGAGACAGGCTATTAGAGCCAGGTTAGAGGTAGGTTAGAGGCACTTTAGAGCCAGGTTAGAGGCAGGTTAGAGCCCGGATAGACATTTAAAAGTGAAAATAGCAAAAAAGAGGGTAAGGGAGGGCAAGAAGTCGGACACGGTAAAGGAGTTCTTTTTCTTTTTCTTTTGTTTTTTCTTTTTTTTAAAGTCAGCCACAAGCTCTTAGGCAGGTCCACAGAGATGGCAAGTATGAAAAGCCGGGCAAGTAATGCCGGCGCGGCACGAGGAAAGCGCCCGGGTCTGCTGCATTACTGCATTTTCGTTTCTTTTTCTTTTTGGGCTGGCACCACCAGCCGTTTTGGTCTGGTAGCACTGCCCATCTGAGACTTGTGAAAGTAGACAAAGACAACTCGTCGACCTCCATTGCCGGAGAAAGATAGTGGTGGTTGACGTTCGAAATTTACGAGGTTCGACTTCGGGACATCCGTTAAATTGGAACGATACAGAGAAGGAAAATTAGCATGGCCCCTGCGCTTTCAAGGATGACACGCATAAATCAACAAATGGTCCAAAAAAAAAAACAAAAAAAAAACAAGGTTTGACTGAACAACTTCCAAGTTGAACTTGTTGACAAAGCCAAGGTGCCAATCTCTCTCTCTCTCTCTCTCTCTAACAATCTTTGTCTATATTCGCTTTCCTTCATTTACACCTTTTTTACGACAAAGTGAATCTCAAGAGATATTCAATGTAACTAGACAAGCTGCAAAAAAAGAAGAAAAACAAAAGAAGTTCTGCAAGTGTACACTACAACATCTCCTTGACACGGTGAATGTGGCTGAATGATACACAGTACTACAGTAACTACAGTAACTACAGTTACTACAGTTACTACAGTTACTATAGTAACTACAGTAACTACAGTTACTACAGTTACTATAGTAACTACAGTAANTACTATAGTAACTACAGTAACTACAGTTACTACAGTTACTACAGTTACTATAGTAACTACAGTAACTACAGTTACTACAGTTACTACAGTTACTACAGTTACTACATTTACTACAGTTACTACAGTTACTACACACATGGTAATTGTTGATAAACAGAACATGAGTTCAAATTTTGATGGACTCTGGTTGAATAATGGTAGACACTGCAATGAACCCAAGTCGTGGATACAATGTCGACACTGAAAGCCAAGATTATCGAACCAATGATAGATCTTCAACGACAATAGTATCAGTAAGAAAGTGGGGGGTGAGATAATCATACACGGACGAAGAGAGGTGGGGGAGATTAGACAAGGGAGAGGGATAAGGCCCACTCCTTCTCCGGGCTCCTCCTACGACAGCAACTCCACATCAGTAATGATCTGAATACAAATTAGAGACTCAGCCTCCGGGTGCCACGTGGCACCGATCAATACATTAATTAGCGCTGGAGCCTCATCGTCATGAAGACATCAGGTACGTATTCACAACACCTCACAAGTCCTGATCTCATCCCGAATAGTCACGACCCCTCCTTGAAGTAACGAAGCCAATGATCAATAGCCGGTCGTAAGGATCCGACAGTACGACACGTGGCAACGCTACGTCAGCAGCAATACGTGGCGACTGCCACGTCAGCAGATCAGAGACAGTCGCCAGCCAGATAGCAAGCCAGCCAGCGGTAACTCACCATGTCAGCAAATGCCGGYCTTCCTCCAGTCTMGCAGCGTCAAACCAAGGCTGCGAGAGTCAGGCGCTGAAAACAGCGTCAACGCAAGACAGCCAGAATTCCCAAAGTCAAGGAGCCAATGCTCTTATAGTGTTGACTCGGGGTCTGATCCCCGGTAGTATCCAACCTCAGCCGTCCAGATCTCCTTGCCTGGAGGGTCTGGATAGATCTGCAACTGTATCTTCTTTGGCTAGGGTCGTAGTCTGGGTACCTGCACTCAACAAGTGAATGAATCTGATCCAAGACCTGGCATGGTACTTTGACTAACAGTTGACTTTGACCTTTGATTTTCCTAAGTCTTGGCGTTCGGTCCCACAGCCGTACGCAGTTTACTCAGGNCTACTTTAAAGGTAGCAGGCCGTCGATGCTTATTGGCCTGAATAATCATTTGTTCTTGGGCTCTCTTTAGATTTTCTTTCACCTTCTTGATATCTTCTTGAAACAAAACTGCATACTCTCTTGTCCCTGGTGGTAACCTCAGAAATTGGTCCCGGGTTAGTTCATCAATGGGACGTCTGGGTTTCCAACCCTTGTGCAGTGCATTAGGACTTCGTCCGATAGCGGTATGTACACTACTGTTATATGCACTAGCAATCTTGGGTAAGTTTTTATCCCAATCAACTTGATCGGGTCTTACAAACATTCGCAAGAGCTGTTGGCACAAACGGTTTATCTGTTCGCTTTGCCCATTCGTTTCAGGGTGTCGCCCTGACGTCATGGTCAATCGCGTACCGTATGCTTCCATCAGCTTTTGCCATGGCATACTTGTGAATCGAGAATCTCTGTCAGATACGATAGTCAAGGGAAATTCATACTCGGTTACCCATCGCATCTGAAACTTCTGAATCACAAGTTCAGTTTTAGCTTCAGCAGGTAAGGGAATAAACATAGAATACTTAGAGAAACGATCTACAATAACCATAACTTGACTATTTCCATTGCGACTTTTGGTGAGAGTCATAAAATCCATTGAAATCGACTCACCTGGTTCATTAGGGATCGGCAGTTGTCTAAGTAGTCCAAGCGGGTTCTCATGTGAAGGTTTGTTTCTCTGGCATACTAGACAAGTGCGGACGTACGCAAGTACATCTTCTTTTAAACCCTTCCAGTCAAAGCGTTCTCTTACCTCAGCGTAGGTTTTCTTGAATCCAAAGTGTCCCTCAAAATCATGACACTCCCCAATTATCATACTTTTAAGTTCTTCTTTATGAGGAATGCATAACCTTTGTTCAGTTTGGTCAATCAAGAAAAGCAAACCGTCGACAATCTTATACTGGGGAAGTAGTGAAGGGTCTTTGACCATGGTGTCTAGGATAGGTTTCCAAATAGGATCAGTGGCATATCCTTGGCGTATCTGCTCTTTCAAATTACTTCCCACGTCTAGATAGGAGACAATAGTGCCAAAAAAGTCACTTCTTCTGGAGAGAGCGTCTGCAACTACATTAGACTTTCCTTTGATAGTTTTTAGTTCAAAGTCAAAGGTGTCGAGGAATGCAGACCATCTTACCAGCTTATCAGAATGCTTTGGCTGTGTCTTTATCCACTGCAAGGTAGAGTGGTCTGAATACACAGTGAAATGTCTTCCTAATAGATAGTGCTTCCATGTTTTCAAAGCAAAGACTAAGGCATACAATTCCCTTTCATAAGTGGAGTTGGCGACTTTCTCAGTAGGCAAACGGGCAGACATAAACTCAATGGGTCTGTATCCTTTGCCATCGTCTTGTTGTAAGACGGCGCCAATCCCATACTGACTCGCGTCAGTTGTGACAATGAAGAGAAGAGAAGGGTCAGCAATTTTTAAGACGGGATAGTGAGTTAATGCATATTTCAGTTTCCTGAATGCAGAC